TATGACATCACCAGACAAGCAGCGGTGAGGAACAGTTTGCTAAATGGGAGAGGAGCCAAATGCCAATTATAGCGGGTCAAGTCGCGTTTGAAAAACCCACGTTAGAATTTTATTGGAAAGGCAGCTTCTCTGTAACACCTTCTCACCAACGCTAACTTCAAACATGTAAAACAATAAATATTTATTGTTGTCGCTATAAAGGAAAATCTTTATTCCAAATCCTACGAAGCAACAAAAGCCTTTTTCTGATTCTGATGAGTTTCAAGATTATTGGTTTTTAAAAAATAAGAAAATTATCACTGGTTATTTTGACGTTTGTCAAACAGAAATTATTTTGATGAACTGACAGAACAGAGAATTTTCCGTCTTATCTGATGTGAGAGAGTGGGAAATAAAAGATATTTTGTGCCTTCATGCAGTGCATTATCATTTTCCTGTTTTAACTGTACCGAGGAAAGCAACCAAAATGTGACTGCATTGACAAAACCAACATGTTTATATTGGAGCCAGTTCTGATTGCCTGAAGTCTGACAATGTAAAGATATTCTGAGGTCATGGTGGATGAGGCTACTTAGAAATGATCTATTCAGACATTCAGTTATGATACAGCTCCAAGCAGATCAACGTCGGAAAAACAAAACAAACGACTCGCTCCACTTTTCACCTGGCTGACCACAGATCATCCTCTGGGTCCAACAGACTGGGGGGAATAACTATCCTCTGCAACTAGAAGAACCAACTGCTCTTGTAAGGAATAAATTATAAAAAAATAAAAATAAAATAAACCCTTTCAGAGCAGTTTAGATAAGAGTAAACATCTGCAATCTTTACAGAGAATTTAAATTAGTTCCGCTTTTGCTTTAAGCAAACAGTGATACGCTCATGTCTCTAATGGATTATAATGTCCAGGCTAAGCCGTTTATGTGTTTTCTATACCAGACGCAACCTGTTCCGGGTCGCAGAAGGGATAAAAATCCACCCCAGCTGTGAGAGGGAGGGAGGACCAGGCTATCCTGGACAGGTCACCAGTTCATGAGAGGCTCAACAAAGAGAGAGACGAGAGAAACAAACATGCACTCTGACCTTCACACAATAGGTAGCTGATAAGAGTCAGTTTACCTACCGTGCACAGGGTGGATCTGATGGGAAGAGGTAAGGAAGGACATTTATCAGCACAGAAAGAGGCAGACAGGAAACCCTGACCCCTCCGCTCACCAGTAAGAACTTTACTATAAACTTTTTTTTTTTCTTTTTAAATCAAAACATTTCTATGTCTTGCAAATAGACTTTGTACTGAAGTCTGCACACGATGTGCATTTATACAAAGTATTGTGTCCAGGATTACTCATACAGCACCAAGCTGCAATGCAGAACCAGAAAAGCTGCAAACAAAAAAAAAGTTTCCCAAAAAAAAAAAAATGTATTAAAAATGTATTAAATCATTGTCAGTGTGTGGTCTGAGCTTTTGCTTTAATATCATACTAGAACATATAAGAGGCCCAGCGGAGATGTGCAATTAAATCAAGCCAGTAAAGCCTAATTTAAAAAGACTGAGTACATTAACAGTGTGGTGAATCTCTGCAGACCTCAGCCTACAAGATCCGCTTTAAAGAGGAAGCAGTGGACGTCAGCAACATCAAAGGCATTCGACACACTCCTCACCATCCCACACAAAGCGAAGTGAGCATATTAAACTCAAAGAGACAGCTCTGGACGACCCAGCAATCAGTCTCAACATGCAGCAAAACACACAGGGTGACAGCTTCCTACCTGGTGGGTGTAAGGTGCTTGTCCCAGGTTGATCCCATCTTTGGAAAGCTTGTCTCTTATCAGCACCTTCAGCTTCAGCTTGGGATAAGTCACAAAGTCGCTGCAGTCTGTGAATCTTGGGTTGTGGTTTCCAGGACAGGAGGCCTGGTGCAGGGCTGACCCCAGTGACCCCGGGTCACCCACAGGTTGGTGACAGGCAGGGGGATCCAGGGGCTCCAGGGTGAAATAGTAGCCAGGTGCTTTCCTCCTCTCCTCCTCTCTGAGCTCCTGCACTGCTGTGAGCAGCCTGTGTCTGTGGAAGTGGACCTGAACCCCGATGGCATCCAGGTCCGGCTCCCCGATCTGCTTACACACCTCTAGGTCATCATAGCCGTTATCCAGGAAAGACTCAACATACTGGGCCAGGTGGAGCCTTGAGAGCCACTGGAGGACGAGGTTTGGCCCCTGACTCATCTTAGGACAGAATTAAAAAGGATTTATTTAATTCATCATCTGTGAGGGGGTCCATGTAAGACAAGCAGAGCCTGATTCAACCTGCTGGTAAACCTCTGGGAAAACTGCAGTGTTACCTGAAAAGTTTCCGCAGGTGTTCTGGCGGTTGGCTGATTAAATCCCAGCTGAAGGTTCACACCTTAATGACTTTAAGATGTGACGTCACATCAAAAGAGTTGAAATAAAGCAGTGAACAGGTGAATCTTGGTTATTAATTGTCCACCAGGCGCGTTTCTTCTAATCCAGACTCTTTAATTAATGAGTTACCTTTTAAAGTGGAGACTTTTTCCCAAACTCTGGATTAAAAACGTTTTAGCAGGTCAGAAATATTAACATTTCCCGCAGGAATGCATCCATCCTCTTTGTTTCATTCATCGCAGCGGTGCAGAAAACGCGCAGCTCCATCAAACATTTATCCGAAGGCAGCAAAAACAGGCAGCTGCACAAACAGCGTTAAAAAGAAGAAAAATAGAGAAATATCTGCAGCCGAGCTGAACGGATCCGATCTGTTCTCCTCATGAGCGTGTTTTTAAGTTTCCTCAGCTCCTCTCGTTTCCCCGGACAGTTTCCTCAGAGTGAGGATGCTGCGGCTCCGGCGGCTCTGCCCGCTGGAGGACCGGTGAGCACTGCTGCCACCTGCAGGCTGCTCTCAGAAGTGCAGGAGCACAAAACATCACAAAGAATTCACGTTTTAAATTATGACCTTCCAGCAAAAACAATATGCTTTACTTAATTATTGAAATTCATGTTTAATCACTTTAATTACATTTATTTAGAACTTATTTCAATATTGCAAAACTGTTATTAAATATTGAATAACAATAATTCAACCTAATAATAGCCACATGTGTTCAAGAGTTTTTAGTCCAGGCTAAGGAATAAAAAATGCACATTTTAAAACTGAGCAATTCCTCTTTAAGCCATTTAGATCCTAAACCGTGGTATTTGTTTTCGTTTTAGAGCACCTAAATGTACGGTAGAGGATTAGGGCTACTGAGAAAGGGAAAAAGTTAACTGATTTTTAAATATAATTTCAGTTTAATATGGGAAAAAAGTCTGAATTCTGACTTTAATCTCAGAATGTTGGATGTTAATCTTAAAGGGCACCATGGAGGGAGAAATGAGGACAAATATGTGAGTAGTTTGGGAGGGCCAGTGACACATTGGTGGAAAAGGATGGAATTAGGCGACTTTTTTACGTGCCTGAGGAGTCCCCGGTGATTCTATTTCATTAATGAAAGATCAGAAAGTGATTGAAACAAGAGAGCTAGTTAAGTCTCTAAAACAGACATGGCTACGGCTTGATGCTTACATGTTTGTTAGCTGTCAGAATTACAGATTAAAGTCAGAATTGTAAGAAAAAATGTCAGAATTCTGACTTTTTTCTCATATTATACTGAAATAAAATTTAAAAATCACTTTTTTTTATTTTTCCAGGGGCCGTAATGCTCTTCCGCATAAATGTGTCCACATTTTAATCAACAAATTAAAGTGTTCTCCCATAAATGAAAAGAAATTGTTTTAAAGAAGTCATGAACCTTTCTCACAATAAAAGCATGTTGAAACATCTGTGTTCACATAAGGAAAGGGATTGCTCAACAAGATAGAGATGAAGCTTTTTGGACAAAGTGACAAAAAACATGGTGGGAGGAGGTTTGGAGTCAAGGTGAGGGTTGAAAGGTCAAAAACTGAATTGTTGTGAACATTTTCTGGACTCCATGTCTGAAAACTAAATTAAACCTGTTCTACCAAGGAAAGTGCTTAAATATCCAGACAGAATCTGGACGTGTTATTGATATCTCACTGAAATTCAAAAACAGTCGGGTTCTTATTCTTATCCATTTTCAGATTTAAAAAAAAAAAACAATGCATTCAGTAGATAAAGATGCATCTCCTCTAAAAAGATAAACAATTTAAAGACCCCCCTTATCTTCATCCCAGATTCACTATCTGCATGAAATGCAAATTTCAAGTTTGCACACAGAATTCAAGCTGTTAAAATCTTTAAAGCTGTTAGTTTGTGGAAAAATAGTTTAAATTATCAAACTAACGTAAGAGGAAGCAGAAAACACAGGACAAAAGTTATGTTGGCTTTTACATTTATTTATTTTTTACTTTGCACAATAATATCTATATATATATATATACTGTATCTACAGTCTAAGTTGTTTGTGGTGGCAGATGAGTCAGACATCCATTTGAAATTGATTTTCATAAAACTGTACAAAAAAATGTTGCCCAAACAAAATACTGCAACTCTACAGATGTTCATCGAATGGATGGAAGTATGGCAGAACGCTCAGCTCGTTTTATCACAGCGCGGGGAGGGAAACGAAAGAAAAGAGGAAAGGGAATCTGAAGCAAACTGGGAGATTTACAAACACACCAGAAGAAAATTCCCCTCATCCCAAAATGACTGCATGATTGCATGAAAGCAGGAGGTGAAATGGGAACTTATGTTCAACGTATGCAAATGCCGGAACGGACGATCTCCAATGGGATAATACAAGTTTGTAAACATTTAATATCATGCATCCTTCAATGTGCAATAAGAGACCATTTAGGACGTCCAAGCTGCAAACTGAAGCACTTTAAAGTGGAGGCCACACCCAACAGCCCCACACACAGAGGACATCCTGCTGCTTTAACAACGCTTTCAAATCTTAGAGCAACACATACAGGAAAACCTTTACTTCCATGTATGGATGACGATAGGTTGGAGATAAACAATTTCTCCATTTCAAAATTACATAGATACTTATTTTAATAGACTGCCGAAAAAAAAGTAGATTTTTATTTATATATATCTATTTGTTTTCAAATATAAATATTTCATAGCTTCTTTAATCTGACATTAAAAACAAATCTGAGAATGAAGAAATCAACATAACCAGCAAATGGCATAAATAAGCAGATGGTCTGTGATGTTTTGGTCCTTCAAACAACTAAGAAAAATGGGACACGGGAATAAACACGTTAAAAATCATAAAAATTTTTACAAAGTACAAAAAATAGTGCAAAACCCACTTATGCTCTTTTAAATAGATTCATCTCAGTAGTATACAGTGGAGTAGATTAAAATCAGCTGTCTGAAAGTGGGGGGGTTTTCTTTGGAAGCTGCTGAAAATCCACCGAAGGAGAGTGAGACCGAGAAAAATGACGTTTCCTTCTCAGGTCGGTCTGTTTTCTTTCTTCTCCAGTCGATCGTGCTGGATTGGCTCCGGTGGATATCTCAGTTTGGAAGGAAACTCTCCTAACTTGCCTTTCTGAACAAAAATCAAGCAGGCCGAGGCATTGAGGGGGGAAAAGGTGTCGTGTTCATATGGAAAAACGTCAATCTGCTCTCCTCCATGTACACAGTGGACTTCCTTAAGTGTCAAAATATGCTCTTACCATTTCAGAGGGTAAATAAAGACAACTTTGTGAAACCGGGATAAGTCTTTGGTGTCAGAAAAACAACATGGCCAGGAAGCGTTTAGTGCCGCTTAAGCTTTGCACGCTCAGTGTCAAAGCTTCCCATTATTTACAACATTTGGCAGCAATATCTTCCGACAGTCTTTTTTCTTTCCTCCTTTGAAAACAAGAGATGCTCCTTCATTGACAAGGTGCTAGGAGCACTGGCCTTCATATGAGCATGTTCACAACACACGCCCATGCTGTGCTTAGCAAAATTATCCATACCCCTTTAATATCTGTAATCTATTTCTATATAAAGGTTTTTAATCCTTTGTGTCTAAAAATCTAATAATTGTGGCATGCATGTCGGTTCAGCCCACATTTTCTCTGATTCAACCAACTGCCTTCAGGGGACTTCTTATTAGCAAACAGAGCCTAATTGTGCCTGGTTTAAGCTCTGTTTAGGTCCAGCTGTTCTGTAAAGGAGAACCATGGTGATAAATGTCACAAGGAACACAGTAGGGAGGTCAGGGATACGGTTGTGGAGAACTGTAAAGAGGATTTAGCTCATAAAGCAATATCCCGATCTCACCGAACACTGGAGATAAAAACTAACGTTGCACATCACCCTAAACACACCATCCCACATTGAGACATGGTGGAGGGAGCGTCATGCAGTGGGAATGCATGTCTTCAGCATTTACAGGAAAGCTGGTAGCAGGGTAGATAGAGAGAGGGATGGAGGCTAAAATCAAAGCAGAAACGTGGTTTGTTAGAACGGCCTAGTCAAAGTAAAAAACTAAATCCAATTTCTCTATGACGAAACATTAAATGTGAGGTTCACATGTAATCTTAAAGAATGGGCGAAAGTTACAAATCTGGTAGAGGATCGAAGGGCATGGTCTGAAAACCAAAGCATTCCACAATTTAGATTTTTATTTCTAAATATATAAAACATTAATAATCTTCCAACATCTTCAGCTATTAGGCAATCCCTCGTTTCAATGGATGAGGGAAGAAATCTCATGAGGGGCGAATACTTCCGTAGGTCTCGGTGTTCTAGACGCAGCTAGAGGTTCTAGGTCATGAGGCGAAGGCAAAAAAAAGAGAGACAGTGTTGAACAGAGAAGCTGTGGCACTAAGTGGAGCAATTTAATGTGTTTGTGAGGCATCACCACTCCCACTCCATACGCATCAACGACTAATCTACTTCAGATACAACAGGACGCCAAAATACTTCGATTTGGGATCCTTGGAAAACTAAACAAAAAAGTTCTGAGCAAAATGTACTTGTGTCCTTATTAGGCGATTAAGACGCGATCTGACAGAAACAAGCCAAAGATCGTAAAACCACCGGGGTTTTTCCAGTGTATCGACTCATTTGTTAGAACAATGTAAACTCTTCCTTCGAGGTGGGAGGGGGGGGTAAACATTTTTAGCACTTTTTTTTGCTCGTATACCTTTTAATGCCCAATATATAATCTTCCTGTTTAATCTACAATTCCAAAATATCTTCATATCTGGAAATAAATAAAAACAAAGTGACGTTCAGGAAACATTCTCACCTAAAGCAACTTGGTGCGTGTGAAAAAGGTTGGCGACAAACTAGTGAACTACCAGCCCTTGTTCAAGTAAGAGGCAACTGATCCACAGTCTTCGTCCAATTGATCTATTTTACGATTCGAAGTGCTTAGAGGTCCTTTCTACGTGACGACATGAAAGAAAATTCCCAAGAAGTCCTTCGCAGCCTTACGCATTCACTCAATGGTCACGTGTTGAAGGATCAGACTTTTCTCCTCGTGTTTGGCAGACACAATAAAGGGCTTAGAAAGGAATCAAAAAAAGTGCAGCCAGGCCACCTAGAGTACGTTATTTTGCAGAACTGTCCCTCCGTCTCCCCTTGAAAAGCAACGCGTGTCTGTTTGTGTGTGTAGAACGTATTTGATGACGGATGTGGAGGGATCCGTGTCTGCCGTGTCGCTCTGAGATGGAACAGAGGAAGAGAAGCCGAATGGCTTCACTCTCATCTTTGCTGACTGGAGTAATGGAGAGTGAAGATACTGTGCTAAGAGAAATAGCATGATGCTGTTGAGCGGAGGAAACCCCGCCCACGGAAATAAACAGAGGACAGAGGGAGCCCAGGCCCCCCCCGGAGATACTGGTGTTCGCAACAAGAGTCCAGAGCTCCGCTCTCTGTCATCAGAGCTGGTACCACTTTTTATCTTTGTACTTCACCATCATCTGAGGAGAGAAATTATGACGGTAAGGAATTGATTACAAGTCTGGAAACGTAAAAAAAAATATATATATATATATATACATATATATAAAACGCTTCCTACGTCATGGGCGTGCTTTGAGAAGGAGTCTGCACTGGCCATCATGGCTGCCGTCCTCTCATCCAGCTCCCCCAGCTTCTGCCCTCTCTCATCCAGCGCCACTCTGGCACGGGCGAGGTCCCCTACGACCCCGGAGGCCGCTCCCTTCATGCCCTCCATGCTGCCCGGGCCTGGGATGTGCTGGGCCAGGCTGCGCGAGGCCTTACCGGACGCCGTTTCACCAACTGCAACAGAACAATTAATATGAGTCCAATGGCGTACGGCTCGATTGATCAGAATCACAATATTCTACACAAGAAATACTGACGGTGAGGTTTTTTTTTTTCTTAGACAAACCTGTAAGCTGAGTTTGATGGAGTTTAGGGAAAAGGTCTTGGTTACAGCTCTAAATGGGCAAAGGCATAATATAAGAGTTGATTCTGCATCGATCGCTTTCACCGATGGGCGCTGACGTGATTTGGTCTCATTTTGGAGCAGTCGACATGTTCAGCAGGCACAGAATTAATTTAATCAACTTTAACTTGCTAAATATTGAACAAATTTTCACTGTTTTGTTTTTTTGCTGAAACAAACAAATAGTTCAGTATATTTAAATATTCTTAGTGCAGTTAAGAGTAACATAGTATTCTGATTAGGGCTGGGCGATATAGAAAAAAATCTTATTGATAAAAAAAAATGCATATTGATCGATATCGATAATTATTGAAAAGATTTGAGACCATATTTTATGTGCAGCTCTGCCTGGACTTATTATAACATTGCTAAATGATTT